GATTGAAACGATTGGCACTGGTAATACAAGGTACATCCAAATGACGAGTCGCAAATGAAGCGAAATGCGCATGCTGGAGTTCACTGACAGTCACCACCTACTCAATAATATTAGGATAGGGTATGTCTACCACGGAAGCACGCAACGCAAGCCGAAACCCTGTTAAATGACTCTATATTAAGTTATCTGTTCGATATACTGCACACTTAAACAGTGCAGTTTACTGGATATTTTTTCGACCCGTCGAACACAGTTTACTGTTCATGATCGCATCAATTGAAACTACACAACCTCGAAACTTCAGCTTTGTAGTTTTCTTTATTCCATCCTATTCTTCGTAGGGGTGGTAGGATTTTCTAGATATCAAGGAAAGGTGTTAGATCATTCCTATTGCACATATTTGCAGCTGATTTGATAAATAAGGTTTTCGTTATTAATATTTCCCTCCACTCTATTATATTAGATCTTAAGACTATCAACTTGTCCTATTTCTTAAATGGTAGTGTGTAATTGCATGACGTGCTGTAGTTGAGCTATTTTCCAGATTTCTTATCTCATTAGTGTCAACAAATCTAGATTTTACTAGGTTTCTGAGCTCCGCTAATCTGACCAACCCTGTTCTACTACTCTGACCTATATATTTTATCTGACAATCGCTGCAGGATATTAGATAAACTGAATTATTTCCTTTGATCGGCTCGATAGGATCTTTCAACCGACATAACTTGTTTCTAAATGAAACTGTGTACCGCTGATCGACTGAGATGAGTATTTGTATACCACTCACATTAAACAGTAGTGCTTGCTAGCCAGCTCGAAGTGATCTAACCACTAGACGATCGCTTCCCTTGTTTGTACCCCAACCTCATCAGCGGTGTACCTGGCTTAACTCAGCTAGGAAAGCCGAGCCCCAAACAAGGGAAGTGGTTGTCCCGTCTTTAGATCACTTCGATCTGACCAGCAAACACTAATGGTTGGTGTAGAAAAATCGTCCCAATCGATCAGCAATATATATAGTTTGCTTGCTTCCTTGATCACCATTTGTGATATCAAGCAGGCCATATATTGTGATCTTCAATAGTTGGTTTGTAAGAATCAGACTTGTTTTAACGAGGTGATCACATATAGATATCAGTTAGAGAACCATTGAAAACCAGGGTCCATCCAATCAAGTGTGAGGATGGATGTCATACCGGTGACATTGGTTGGTGGTCGCGCTAAATCACGAACCGGTGGAAGTTAGAATTCGTGCGCCATTTTATCGGGTCTCAGTGGCTGAATGGCATACGAGCTTGCCTTGTAACCAGGAGGTCCTGGGGTCGAACCCCAGTGGGTGCCGATGATTGGCAAACTAAGATGAAGGAGCTGTCCAGTACTCCCTGGTTTTCTGACTGATACTGTAATCTGAAAAATTTGGTTTCCACAGTAAACTGTGATGAAATTTCACTTGGGACGGAGTAAAGTGCAAATTGGGGATCTGATATTTCTAAATGAGTATGAATACCACTTTCATCCCTGCTTCGTTAAGAATTCTACTTCAGGTATCAAAGGTTCCTTCTTTGAATGGAAGCACTACTGATCTTCTAAACTTCTTATTGTTGTTGTCGTCCTTCTGCTTATGTTTGTCATACATATCATCTTCATTATTATTAGTTTTATTTTTACAATTTTCTATATACTTCCTGATTAATTTATCGGGGTAATTATTCAGTTTCAAAGCATCTCTTATATTGCCTTACTTCCTGCCTTACATTTTTCTTGGTACTTCACCGTATTGCTTAAAAATTTCACCAATCCCATTTCTGATGATGTAGGGTGTGGTGACCCAAAATTCAAATATCCGGTTTGAATATGTATATAAAAATCCACCAAATAATGTTGCTTCTTTATGTGATATGAAACGGGGTCTAACGGTAGAATGCTCGATAAGCACGCACGTGGTTCGGATTCGATTTTGGGCCAACGCATTCCTAAGCCTCACCTGACCGGTGGCAAGCCCAGTAAAGAGGGAAGGTTAGGCGTAAGGCTATCACTCCTACCCCACAGAAAGCAACATCACTACCGAAACATCAAGGTCTTAAGACTGAAGCCCAATGTTCTACTCAGAATACAAGAACTGGTGTTTTTACTGTGTAACATATCGAATATTATATACTAACGGAGTGCATAAGTTTCATGCACATTAATATATCAAACGATCTTGACGACTAGTGCATTTAAAACCATCAAGTATAAAAAGAAGTCACTCTGTACTCGATGATCATAACCTTTTTGATGCCTGAAGATGTAAACTAGTCATTGAAATCTCTACAGATATATCATAATTCTGACTCAGGTACTAATTCTCGGATAATTATCATCAATCTCCTTCCCCTAGAAAAACATCAGCATTTCCATTATCTAGATTGATAATTAATGCACAGATGAATTAACTAAAAGCTCATTTACATTACAAGTAGTTAGTGGAATCATACAAGGTATGATCTCTAGAGAAAGTCAATTTAGTTATTTCTCTTATATTATACACCAAATACTCCTAGTTGCTAGCAGATAATACTAATAACTGAAGCTGTAAGTGAAATTGACTTGCAGCCAGTTATGTACCGTTTCCATTTTTAACAGTTTGTTTGTAGGGATTTAACTTGTTTCAGGTTTGATTACGGATCGTTATCAGTTAGAGAACAGTTAAGAAGCAGGGAGTATTGGAAAGTTATTCCGTCCTAGATCAGGACTATTGAGCAGCACACACCCACGAATCCACCAAGAACAGAACTCAGGAACTTCCACTTACAAGGCGAGCTTGATAACCATTCAGCCACTGGAAAGAGATTCAGTGGTGCCTATGAAATATCCAGATCGCAAAGATCCTTTGTTTCACAAGACTAAGTCTAGTACGCAGAATACTGTGCACTATAACGGACGTGGAACAACAGAAAAGGGCTGGGCAATACGACTGTTTATTCTTCAACCGATAACGAAACAGAGTTACAATTGTTACCAAGTCCAAAGTCTGTGAATAATGTACAACAATACTTCTGAAAGTATTTCTCCAATCTTTTGCTAAACAGTATAGGACTAAGCAATGATGGAGTTCTTGTCTCCCATCAAATGGAGTTGAGCTTGAATAAGCAAACGATTCAATGTTCATCAGTATTAACAGTCCCTGAATTCTGACAATTCATGATTTTAGCGCGACTGGCGCATCTGCGAGCATTTGTCCTAACTCCCGACGGGCTGAACCCCAATGGTCACGAATTCTCACCAGAACTCTAGACAACTTTGTCCAGTAAAAAGTCACTAGCAAGCATCAGATTTTTTCAGTTTTCCTGGAAAACTATTCAGGAATTTCACTAAGTAAATAATTTTATTCCAACGAATTAGAGGGTGTCAGGATTTCATCATGAACTGACATAGGTTAGGGGACCATTGGAAAACCTGGGAGTATTAGAGAGCTGTTTCATCCCAGTTTGAGGCTCTTTACCAGTACGCACCCACTGAAGTTCAAATTCAGGACCCAGAATTAGAGGGTAGTAAATAGTCAGGTTGAATACAAGAAAAATAACATGTCGCAAATAATTTCGCATAGCGTATTCACTTGCCTTTTCATGAATTACTAATGAAGATATCAAATATGATAAATCACAGGGTATAAGTAAAGTAGTATGAGGAGACCAAGACATAGTTGCAGTTGCTAAACCACGATCGATACTAAACAGGCCATTGGTTCTCTAGTGTGTCTTTCTTCGATATCAGTTTCGTGACGCTGTTGGAAGATCTACTACCTTTAACAGGAGAGTAAAGTGTGTTGTTATGCTTTTCTGCTAATATACAACGGGATATTTCACATGTGCAATTTAACGACATCCAAACAGGTCAGTTATTGGCAGCCATCAACAACGCATCATAGCCGATTAGATTTTCTATCTAAATTCCTCAAATGGCTGATGATGTAACTCATCACGTCACTTCTTATAGTCAAACAAAGCACAAAAGTCACAACTATATTTTGTAATGAGTAAGATGTAAAACAACACAAAATTAATCTGATATTCACTAGTGACTGACCATAGGGGACGAAGTTGACTGGAGTTCTGGTGAGAAGTCATGACCAGTGAGGTCAAACCAGGTCAGACTCGAGGATAAACATTCGCCGACGGCATTAGCTAACAGTGGCGCTCAAATCGCTAATTGACAGAAAGTAGAATTCACGGGTCACTGAATTCCGGCCCAGTGGCTGAACAGTCAACGAGTTCGGTCTCGTAACCTGAAGGCTTGGGTTTTAGTGGGTGAGTACCACTGAAGAGTCCCAAACTCGAACGAAACAGCTGTCCAGTACTCTCTGGTTTTCAATAGTTCTCTAACTGATACCAATCCATGATCCGACTTGAAACAAAATAACACAAGTTGCTTACAGAAAACAGGGAGGGGTTGGCAGCGGGAAGAAACTAGAAACAAAGTCAGTATACAATCACAATTTAGACAAAGTAGAGAACAAAGACAATAACTGAATAAACCATTTTTTTTCTTTTCTCATTCCTTGAATAGATGCACATTTTTGTAAGTATAAATAAACAACGAAACTATTTTACAAAAAAGAAAGTATTTATCAGATAGAATATGGAATGATAATTAAATTCGGAAAAATAAGGTAACCAAAAATTCGCTTTTCAAATTAATATCAAAATCAAGAGAGAGAAGAAAAAGAGGTTTTAGTAACTGAGCTTACAAGGGGAAGCAGGAAATGTGTTTGATAAATCTACCAGTCGCACATATGTACGCGCCGAAAACTTGATTATTTCTCCAATCACTATTATTATTATATGATAATTAGAAAAGAAACGGAATATTAATAGTAATAATAATAATAATAGAAGTAATAAATTTAAGTAAATAGATTTCACTCCTTAATATGTCATGAATAAAAATAGTACAAACACACATACACACGCACGCGCACACACACATACACACTTCACATATGTAGACGTTTAACTAGCTAGCTAACTAACTAACTGCCACAATTCAACAGTATCAATTACAAATGGAACACTGTTATACATCATTGTTGAAGATTGTTTCTTAATCGATTCAGGAGGATTATTTATTGACTGTGTGTTTTGAGCAGTATCAATTGATACAGAAGAGAATTGAATATCTGGTAAATTTCCACTGAGTACAGGATTATCATATGTATCTGTTGGTTCACTACGACCATATTTCAGTGATTCATCGAACCAAATAGCATTTCTTCCACTGAAGAATAGAAAAAAAAAAATAAACAGTAATGTTTAATTAACTTCTGCTAAACGTTATGGTATTAAAGTAATGATTTCAACATTGAATATATGAGAAATTCGGTTAGAGATAAAAAGAAATAGGTTTCAGTATATATTCACTATCTTATTGTGAATTCATTGTTGCAAAGCGAAGTGGCTATTTAAGAATGCAGTTTGGTATAAACTCTCAAATGAGTATGACAGCTTGAACAAAGAGTCTCTTCATTAAAGTAAAATGTACATGAGGTACACTTTTTAATCCTAAATCATTTTCTGTTATCAAAATGAATAAAACACCATATAGGTATTATAAGGAGGTGATTAACAATGGGAACCAGGACGTGCATTTCCTCCTACTTGGAACTCGTTAGCTGGATACAGAGGCGATCTCCAGGGAGTAATGGTGTTCCCACCGTGACTCGAACCCAGCACCCACCGTTTTAAACACTAAAAAAGAGTTATCTATTATGTCAATCAGGTGTCGAGAGAGATACCTCTTGTGCAACGAGTATCGTTGATTGAGTGGATAACGCGCCTAGGTGCTTGAAATAAGGCTTCTGGGCTTAGGTGTCACTGCGGATTGCAGGTACATCCAGATACCGAGTCCGAAACAGGAGGGGACGATTATCCTAGATACCAAAGATAGTCACCAACTACTAAATAAAACCATGTTGATCCTCAAATGTCGTTAAAGAGTCCATACCAAGAGGTGACATCTTAACAGACACCGATCATTTCGGTCCAATATAAACAATCAACGGGCAATACATAATATTCCAGTGATGGGATTTGTAGAGATTTTGACTGATTGCAATTGTTATATTTTCGTCACAAATCAACATCAGGCGGGAAGACCACTGAAAACCAGAGAGCACTGAACAGCTTTTTCGTCCTACTTAGGTACTCTTCATCAGTGAGCACCCCTGATCCCACCAGCGACCGGACCCGGGGATTTTTAGGTTACGAGACCGAACTCGTTGACGGTTCAGCCACCTGAACCGTGAATTCTTATTTTGCCAATTAGTGGTATGGTGCGCCACCGTCTCCAGTACCTTCAATGAACATCCAATGACCCCCACTTCCCATCACACCACCGAAGAGTCCTTAAACGAGGCGAAACAACCAACCAGTGTTACTTGGTTTCCAATGATCTCTTTACCCAATGTTAATTGGTAGCGAAAATCTAACAATCTAAACGAATAGCACTCAACAGGGAGATTAATTTTCTACTTAAATCCGTAGCATACGAAACAAACTGGAGAGATTTAAAGAACAAGTTCGTCATGAGGAGTACGGAACTGTTTAAAACGAAGAAGTATTGAATCTTTTAAGTGTGCTTGATCATTTTCTTAGGAGGACGGAAGTCCAGAGGAATGAAAATGATGTTAATTCATTAGAAATTCCGACCTCATGCTAATGAGAATCAGCCCATCAAAATTCACGACAAACTCGTTTTTCTGACAAATATAACAATGAACAAACTAAATAATCTAGAACCAACAAAAATAAACGTAATATGATAAGAAGCTCACCTCTGACCACCGATATGAAACGAGTGAGGCGATCCTCGCATAAAGAAATAATTCTTTTTGGTCCAACAGTATTTCTGAAAGTGTGAGTAAATACATGAAATCAGTGGGTATTTTTCAGAGTATTATTTTCGTAAAAAAATATTAACAACATTTAATAACTGTAATATTTGAAAGAGAAAAGTTTAGTAATTTAACAAGTACATGCAGTGAATAAGACCCCTGAATAATACGATTTATTGGTTGAGGACATTAATTTAGTTAGTTGAGCCTTAACCACTTAGCTGGCAAAAGTACACCAACGAAAAATAATTAAAATACACCAGAATTCAGTTAGTCTTGCTTCATGTTGCTACTTATTAGACCAAGGACTAAGCAAAAATTTTAATTTTAAGAAATATATGGTTATATTTGCCTAGATATCGAATATACGAAGTGATATTCCTTATGGAACCTATCTAGTATCACCATCAGATTTATTCAGTACATAAGGACCAATCATTGAGGACGTGGTGCAGTAGTTGGAGTCATTTGTCATCCCAACAATCAAAATTAAGATTAGAATTCATTATTTCCATCCCCTGTAGAGTCGTAGGAGCATACTGCTGAAACGTCCAAAACTACGACGTAACAGCAGTCCAGTGCTTCTCAGTTTTCAAAGGTTCCGTAACTCATATCTATACTTCATCCAATTTGATTCCCATTATGATTTTGCTATTCTGCAAACATGCTATTTGGAAGAGACATTCATCCCCACTGCAGAAAACCCTTTTAAGCTGTTAGGTTTACAAATGCAGGACAACAAAACAAAGGGGTTTGCATTTTCCCACTCTCCGATCACTATAACACAAATGCATCAAGAAGTCACACATCCATATATAAACTACATTACACTACAACAACAACAACAGGAACAGTTAGACATATTATAAGAGGAGTCAAGCACACACTCATGGGAAAAGGCGCAGTCTATAGATTATTTAAGAATGAGGACACCGACAGGAAAACAATCCGTCAAATGTAAAATGCGACACTAAGTCGCTGAAAAAAGGTCAAATATTCACATAACAGATCGAAGAAAAGAAAGTTAAAATGTGACAGAAATTAATCTTATACTGTATAACCCAGAGACATTTAGAGTCAGAAGAATAATCTTTATAAATTCCCAAATAACTAAAGAAACACTTCGCCTTTCAGTGTAATGAATGAAATGGCACACAACTTAACTATCAAATATCAAATCCTGGAGCATACCATACAACTAGAAGCAGTTTAATCTAGACAGGACAACGAAACTAGAAAAAACACCGATGAGTCCTACAGTATTTAAGTTTCCACTACAACCGGCTTGAAGTATTATCTACAAAATACAAGTTGTCAACCCTTTTACTTATTTAACATTTAAGTAGCTTGAGAAAATAGATAAAATAAAACAGACAGTTTTTTCACAATCACAATTTGCAAAGATGGAGATGGTAAAATATTTAAATACCTAATGCAAGAGTTAATGTTAGGATTTCTGCGAATGCATAGGGAAGTAAACTTCAAATTTGAGGATTCTTGTTAATTTCCTTTTCGACGACCTACCAAGAGTAACTCTTCAAATGTGATAAGAGGAACTTAGTGGAACAATAAGCATATAACATGCAATTTAACAAAAAAGAAACTTACTTTAAATGTTGGTTTCCAATGAAAGACAAATGTTTCACCAGTCCCATAAAATCCTTTACTACACTTCATTCCTTCTGACATAACTGCACCGAATACAACACCCATAGTATCTCGAATCAGTAATAAAACACCACCTTCAACATCTTTGCATTTTCTATACACTGTATTTAAACAATAACCATCATCTTCAGATTTATAAATAGAGACTAAATTTGAACCAATCCACTGAGCAGGAAAGTTAACGCTGAGCTGGAAATGAAAAAAAAAATGTATATATATATATACATACAATATACATAATATACACATTTATAGATATGATGGAGAAGATTTGTAGCTCAGGTGGATGATTTTGATGTGGGCTTGACTAGCTCAGTGGTATTGTCTCTGACTGCAGCGTTAAGTGACGTGGGTTCGAATCTCAGAAGAGACTTGAGTACCTTCACGGTTGTAGATACGCTTTACTTATCCACATCAAAATCATCCACCTGAGCTACAAATCTTCTCCATCCTATCTAAATCTTACGAGCGGAACACACTTCTCTCTGTTCGAAAGTGGGAAGACTTCGCCAAAAGGCAAGGATCCCCACCAGAGAACTATACACATTTATATCTGCCAAATCAGAAACTTCATATCATTATTTATATTATACTATGTTCCCACCACATTTCAATCAATATTTACTATTTATTTTGCTATGACAACAACATGACAGTCCTTTTGTTATGAATGCCCATGTGTCTCGTATTAATAGCTTAGAAGGATATATCTGTAATTTGTTTGTTGTGGTCATTTTAGTCAAATGTTTACATATCTGACTTGAATTAACAACAAAATTTCATACAGACAACATGGAAATTTATTATAGTATTCAAATTGAGTTTAGTCAAGTGAATAACTCTAATGTATTGTAATTCACTTAAATGATGGTTTATCTATGATAAACAGACAACCGAACATTTCTTTTTTTATAATAAAAACTGGAAAAAAAAACAATGTGACAGTACAAAGGAAGTTATTTACAGTTGAAACTGCAACAGGTCAATGATATTGGATGGTTGGAGGCAATCGTCAGGAAGCCTTGGACCTAGGTTTCGTGCTAGTTGGCACTCTTCAGCAAGGCGTATCAGCAACCTTGAAGGAACTCATGTCCCTTCTGAGATTCAAACCCGCGTTACCCAGTGCTGCAGTCAGAGACTACAGACCACTACAGTCCTACAGGAGGTCAATCGCGATCTCAAATAGCTCAGTGGTAACGTCTCTAACTGCAGCACTGGGTAACGCGGGTTGGAATCTCAGAAGGGACATGAATTCCTTTAAGGTTGCAGATACGCCTTGTTGACTGGTGAGTGCCAACTAGCACGAAACCTAGGTCCAAGGCTTCCTGACGATTGCCTCCAACCATCCAATATCATCACAAACAATGTACACCGTGATGGCGAGCTACCTAGAATGGTGGCCACATTACAACGTGAGAGATAGAATTCAGTCTGCACCAAAGAGAGGACTAGACGCATCACACTAGTTACTAGTGTCAAATCAAAAAATGCAACAGGTCGAGTCTGAAATATAAACACTATCCCATTAATCGGCTTTGATGAAAAATATCAAAAGTTCAACTGGCAAAATTCCAGACAAAGACAGCTACGAAGAGTGACAGTTCCTGCTGGTGATAGTGATCATACAAGCAGGCAGTATCTTCATAGATGTGCAGTCAACTGACAGCTACTTACAAGCACTTTAAAACAATTCAACTTTTTTATCAACAGCTGCCATCACTAACTCTATAGTGAAGATCAGACTGGTCAGAAAAGATTAGCACCATGAAACTCTGGGAACAAACTAATCAAGAACCCTATCGCCTTACTAGTACACTTAAGGGAATGGAAGGCTACTGGACATATCCTGAGGAGACCGCCGTGTGATACCATACATCAGGCCAGCCCTAGAGTGGAACCTGAATGGGAAACGACGAGTTGGGCGTCCGTCCAACCGCGACATGGGCAAACGTCGAGTCAACTGAAAAGGACTGCAGAGAATGGGATGAAATGGAGATGAGATGTTGAAGCCCTATGTTCCACTCAGAACCCAAGGGAATAATAATAATTTAAATAATAACAATAAGTAAATAGATTACTTTGACATGAGTGCGAGTGTAGAAATTTTGAATAAATTTCAATGAATTTTCTAATAGTTCTACTTTGATTTGTTCAGTAAAACAAAATCTACATGCTTCTCAAGGAAAAACAAAAACAAGAAATAACTCGTTCAGCAATCAAACTTCCAGTGATAAAAATGATATACTTACGTCTGCTAGCATTTCATCAGTTAGTATTCTGCTCTCTCCACCAGAAAGCGATGCTATAGGAATTGATTCTTCCATACTTTCTAAAATCTCCTCCACTAAACTACGTCGTTGTTGTGTTGTATCAGTAGACTCCAGATTTTGCCCCTATACAAGAAAATGTAGAAACAATTGTCACAATCGACAATAATATTAGTACATATTGAAAAGTATTAAACAAATTTAGGGAAAACACATGATCAGTAACACCTCTACTTCTCGTAACATCTGTACTTCTTTAAGGTAGAGGAAACACATGTTACAGTTATCTTAACCGACTAAGGTTAATAACTTGTCTTAATTGGTAAAAGAAACTTGACACTTAAGCTCTGATGGTTCCATGTAACTGAGGTAAAACATTTAGAACCTTTGTAGATATAGATATGCAATTATAGAATAGAGGACGTAATGAACATTTGTAGATGTGCAATCTGATATCTTCCCAGTGTCATAATAGTGACTCCATTAGATGGAAGAATAAGTGAAAACGTAGAAGTGGATAATATACACCAACCTTAAGACCTCAAAAACTGATGAGATAAAGTTAGAAATAACTTAGAGATCATACTTCCCTTTGGTATTAACAACTACAGTCGAAAAAGTATTCTCAGTGTATATTATGGTCATTCACCAAAAAACACAAAAGTTATGAAATACTGGTTAGATGGTTATGACACCATAGAGCTCTATTCTGTTAGCATACGACGAATTACCTGCTTCATACTGAATAAATCCAACACCGAAGTTAAATCCAAAAGTTTTTTCGAAACCTGAAGATTAATAAGACTATCGTAATATATTTACTGGTAAAGCGATAAAACACTAACAACTACATTGGAACATCAAATCATCTTTTGCATGAAACAATCAAATATTCTTGAGGAAAAACAATATCGTATTGGATTATTGTGCATCATTTGCATGTTTCCATAGTAATTTCAGATAGTTTAGGTAATATAGATACCATTTTTGTAGGGAAATATGCACTAAATGATGTAATATTTTACAGGGTGAAAAGAAAAACCATCTTCCTTGAAAATTCAATCACATGTGAAAAAAGAAATATTCTTGGGTATTTTTATGCACTAAACTGAAAAGCTCAAATTTAAAAAGTAAATGGCAAAGTTGTACACCCTGAAGAATGTGCGTATATTATTGAACCGAAATGATCAATTACAACAGCTAGTTAACCGACTAGCTACACACTGTTTCGAAGGTCTGGCCCCATAACATTACTTACAAAGAAAAAAATAATATTTCCCGTGACGCACCACTGAAGATGTGCATCCGTGGTTCATTGGTAGAATCCTAGCCAACCACATACGTGGTCCATAGTTCAATTCTTAGTCGAGGCGCTCCTAAACTTTGCTTCTGCCTAGTTTTCTAGGTAGTAGTTAGCCTGGAATACAGGCTAGCAACCCCACCAACCCATAGAAGGACAACACCAGGGCTACAGAGAATTCAAAGTTTGAAGGCAAGGCATGAAAAGAAAGCACCAAATTATCATCTAAAGATTGCCCGAAAATAACCAAACTAATACGGTGATAAAACTACTAAGAGAACCACAACAAGAAGTGAGAATTTTCAGTACTACATCAAAGCCAGTAATTCAGAAATTCTTGCCAGTATATAGACTACTGTGTTAGGTGAGATGAAAGAAAAATTGTATCTCATCAGAAGAGCTTTACGGTGGCATGCATCTAATAAGGTTATTCACAGTATTCATGAACACAGGCTTTTTGGTTAATACTGTTCAGAATTTCAAAGGAAAAACAAAGGTACATTTTGACTTGCCATAAAAATATACGCCAACAGACAGCTAATAGCACAGGCAAAGGGATAATTTTAAATAAGGTCTAAATAAATCAGGTGTAATTTTAATCAATATCTAGCGTTTTATGCCTCTTAAAATAAACAGCAAAGGTAGAAGGAGATCATCTGAAGTGAATGTAATTCATCACACAGGAGACTCAACAAGAAAAACGAATGGACGAATGTCTTTTCACATAATGATGAAATGAAAATTGAAAAGTATAAGCAATCGTTTTAATGTTGCAGCTGGCTTGATCACAATTGTGAGCTGTATCTTATCGATAAACCCAATTGGTTTATGTGTTTTTCGTCAAAATAATATGGTTTAGAAAAAGCAAATGCATGCTTGCAATTGATAGTATCTCATATTGAGTCATTATAATATCTGAATGAAAAGAGTTTTTCAAGAACACTTAACTGGATATGCAATGGCATCCAGGTTTTTAGAAGCACTTGCTTTCAACAGAATCATGAAAACGACAACGAAGACAATATTGTGTCGCTAATGCTAAAAGATGAGTGATAAAACAATAAGGGAAATAAAGAGTTGGTGTTTAAAAGCTACTAACTGTGAACATAACACAGAGACAAATTGAACAAGTTACTTTGTTATAGACAATTCTCACAATCCTATGTAATATAAAACGGAGTCCTATATACGACAAAGAAATTAAACAGGTATTATTTTCGGGCAAACTTCTTTTCACCTTGTAGGTTTTATTTTAAACATCATTTCAGTGCTGATGAGGCGTTCAACCGACACTATTGGTTTCTTAATTTAGCCACAAGGGGAAATCTTCTTGTGTCGGTTTGGAAGAAGAATGCGTTGAAAGACCTATGTATAAGGCTTTACAGGAATCAGATAACTGACATACGTACACATCATAGTTATCAGATGAGGAATATAGATGATAAAATCCCGTCGGCTGCATCTATACTTCTCTCGACAAAAGTCCCTTTTGATAACTAGATTTTCATATTTAATAGGCTATTTTCGATTCGAAATTGTTAATTCTTTAGGTTTCGAGTACTGTTAAACAAAAACATATGAAAGTGTGATTGTATATCTATTGAAAATGAAAAGTTCGAAATACATTTTCCAGTGGCTTTCTTTCCTTTCTTATATCCTGATGAACATTTGCTATAATAATGAAACATGGTAACAACACATAGATTGAATATTACTGACCTGACATATGCAGGATATTATACGCTTAACGGAGTAGACGTCAACTAAAGACTATTTACGTATTAATTAGTGACATAACTACAATCTATTCTATTGCTATATTTACATCTAAACTTTGTACTGTTCCAGACATTAAATATTTCATTATTTTAGACTATTTAATATGTATCTCAATCAATTTTCAATAGTATCATTTCTAGGCCTTCAATACTTGCACATCAGTTTTTCAGGTGAAGTAGCAGCTATAATAAATGACCTGGTACAGTGGAGAGTGGGTAAACTTCTGTTTTCCTCTCGAAATGCTCTCATGTAGCCACGTGTTCATAGCGTCTGACAGGCAACTCCTATTAACTGCCTTCACGTGATGGTGATGTCCCTCACAAAAGTGAATGAGAACGCCTGGTGCTTACAACTGGAATGGTGACCATGCTGGTCTGCCTAGGAGAGCTAAAAAACCCTGATTCCATATACATGTGGTATATGTGGTCTCTAGAATCCAAACGCGACGAATGTCGCATGAACTTATTTTTGTCACCAGAAGCCATGGGTAGGCGACTCCATTGCCTTGTGCATTAGACTTTGAGTCAAAGGCTTGAGAGTGGGTGTCCCCGTTTAGACAACCACCTGCTTCGGTCTGGGTGACTGGGCAGTATCCCTAGACTGAGTACAAACTATGAGATATTGTGCGGGGCATCTCGTGGCGCCAAAAATATACAAACGTTTGTGTCTTAATAATAATAATACTCAATATGTGATCTAGTCTGTGAAAGTAATGAGTTTGCTAATCAGCAGCACTACAGTATAATTACGTAAGAGCGAATAGTCATGCTGTATTATTTACTGAAGGCATTTCCAGCACAAATTTATAGCTAATAATAGTAAAACGAATATGACTATTAGATAGTATTGCTATCACAAGATCTCTCAGCGATAAGAATTAGTTAACACATGTAGAAATGAAATCTAGCAATTTAATTTTTGTGAACTATGGGGTAGAAGAACAATTAATTCAATGATATAAGAATGTTTATAACTTATAATAACACAACTACTACACGCACAGGCAAGTTGAATGCACAGACTGTGTGATAAGATGATTATTGATCAAAATAATGAGAATTTAAGTAAACACAGAAATTATAATCAGCTAGATTCGGTGCTTATACTTTACTTGTTATAATGTTGTTATAATTTTCGTAACTAAAACATGGTACACACATATTTATACGATTCAATTTGGATTGTGTCACTAGTGTACAACAGCGACGGAATATTTTGCCAGCACAACTCTGTAGTATAAAACTATGCAAGTGTATTTATATCTGGTATTATTGTTTGATCAGTGTTCGCTACAATACAGTAATGAATACATAAAGTCAAAGAACGAGTATGGTTACACTGAATCGAGAGCTGGCCCAAAACCTTCACCGATTAAAGCGAAATTAAGACCAGGAATCTGCAAGTTGATGGTTCAAATCATGCCACAACTAAAGTGTTCTTTTAAACTTTGAAATAACACTCCTAGTTCAATTTTGTTAGAGTAGTTGAAGTGATGAATACAAACAGCATTAAGGCATATCACTTCTTTGTGATACTTTTGACTAAGAAACCATATTGATTTTAGAATAACAGGAAAGACATTTAGTCCAGGATCTTAAGAGGTAGTAAGTGATTTACCATAAGACAAGCCCTACTACCTAGCCTGATAACGAAGCAAAGTAGATCTGAGATACTTCAGATTTTAGAAAGTATTCCTTTCCTCTGTAACAGTTACTATCTCAGTGTTACTTGTTGACCAGTCAAACCTAACAGTATCAACCGATTCTCTGTGTCCTAGACAGTGGATGAGACAACAGCTGTTAATACTTCAAATGAAAATAAAATCTGAGCACTTGGTGTAACATATGTTCACATTTTAAATAAAACTACGATATACTTAGCATAGTGACGTAAGTTGGTGTTAGCATATAATACAAAGAGTTGAGAAACTAAACATTTATATGCTGTGGCTAAAGCAGATTGTTTTTGTATCCCTGCAAAAAATAGTAAACGAAATAGTACTATTTGCTTTAGTTCTCAGTGAATGATGGTGTTCCCACTGAGACTCCAAGCCAGCATTTATTGCCTCAAACGTCAAAGCGTTATCCACTGACAACTGGTAACCGTTGCACTATAAGTGCCACTCGTGGTCGGTCTACTGGATGGAGCTTTAGCACTTAAAACGATAGGCGGTAGGTTCGAGTCTCAGTGGGAACACTATCATTCACTGCAGATTCCAGGTACATTCTACAAACGAACTCCTAACAGGACAAAAAGCACATCTCATAGATTCCATTGCTAGCCACCATCCACCAAACTACATCAAATAATATTATACTAGAAGGAGAAAAGAAGGCAGGACTATTTACAACAAATGGTGGGGGTGGAAGTGTTTTTTGAGCGAACACAGTTCGAAATAGGATTCCTGCTATCAGATTCAATGAAAGTTAAAAAAAATAAGACTTCCACATACAACTCTACATCTTCAGTTACAATTATTTTTTTAAATCATTCTTAATGTAGTTAGTGTTTCAAATCGTTTAGAAAGAAAGGAATGTTGTGAGAGGAAATCTTAAAATATAAGACAACCTCTTTTACCTACCTGGAAATCATCGTTTCAACTACAGGCGGAACTGACCAGGATATCAAAGCAAGAATACGAAAAGCAAGACAAGCTTTCACTACTCTCAAGTATGTGTGGAGGTCAACAGCACTCAGCATCAAAAATAAGATCCGGTTTTCAACCCCAATTTGAAGTCAGTGCTACTATACAGATCAGAGACTTGCACTGCGCGTCATAAAGAGCATCTCAAACAAACTTCAGACCTTCATTAACAACTGTCTTCGCTCAATACTGAAGATCAGATGGCCAGAAAAGATCAGCAACAGAGATCTCTTGCAATGAGCAAACCAACCAGGAACCGACTGTGAAACAAATAGGCAGGAAGAAATGGAGATGGATTGGCCATACTCTTAGGAAACCATCAAGTGACATCACTAGACAAGCCATTGCTCGAGTGGAACCCGAAAGGGAAGCGGCGAGTTAGTCGTCCAAGGGTGACTTGGAGGAGGTCATGTGAAGAGGAGATGAAAGGGTGTGGGCAGACTTGGAGCCAGGTGAAAACTCTAGCAGAGAACCGAACGCAATGGAGATGCGTGGTTGAAGCCCTATGTTCCTCTAGGAATTAAAGGAAACAATAATAATATAATAATAATAACCCACAGTCATCGAAATGCTCAAGTTTTGTAATCGATCATTTTCGTTTATGCATAAGGATAAATTTCAGACTACCATAATAACAATAATAATAATAACAATAACAATAGTAAGTTTTCCTGATGAGGGAATTTTATTGAACAGAATACTATATGCTGGAGGAAATAGAAAAACTGTTTCGGGGCAACGGACGTTGATATTAGCAACTGAAGGAAAGAAATTACATATCTGAATTGGGCTATTTCGTAAAAATCAAAGCAGGTCCAGACTGTGATGGTTCAAGGAAAACGTGGACATTGCTATATAATATGCCATTTTATCGGAAATCTGCATACGAATGACAGGATGTACTTTTTACTCTAAGAAATAGGCATACATTATATTTCCTATATTAGACTGATGTTAGGACACTGATAAATAACTAGGGAAGATCATGTGAAATAGAAAGATTATGTATTTTGATATTAAGACTTGTTTTTTCTTGAAAAAAAAAGAACTTAGAATGAAAGACAGTAAGTGGAAGAAACAGGACAAACGGGCAAGAGAGAAAATCCATAATAATATAATCTAGAGAAACGATGTAAACAAGTAACGTGTGGCAACTTCAAGTGAAATTCCAGCTATAATGGAGGGGAATTGAATTTATGATATCTCTTGAGAGTTATGTGAGTAAAGAAAACAAATAAGTAAATAAATAAACAAATAAACAAAATGTTTACCTTTTCACGCAATTGACTTCCATCAACTTCATCCACAGTGTTTTCAGGGTGATCATTCAATTTTTCACTAGGATCTGAGCTACCGACACCAGCACGTAACAAGAAACTGTATACTTGAGTGAGACTTTAAAATAAAATAAGACAAAGTAGAATAGCATAGGTGACACGAGTTACTTAATGTTGGAACTAAAATACAGAGAAATTAATTTTCTGCACTTCAAAGTAAATGTTATCACCAAACATGTCAGATGGTTCACGGCTTCCTTCACTATTATGAGTTTCCAGACCATAGATGGTAAAAAACTCCCTGGAATAATTTCACCAACGACTCACATTGAATCATTATAAATTATCTGAAATGATCCCAGCATCGTATTTAAGAAAAAATCAAAACAAGATTTTTCTGAACGTTTCTCTGTGTAACCCACAGCCTCTTTAACAGAATCATTCGAACTTTATCAACCATCAAAATATATAGTCATAAATATTACACAAATTGAAGTGAGTTCCTTTGAAGGTCACCCGTCGATAGACATTCCTACCAATAGAAATATGTAAACAGTCATCACGTATTTGTAATGACCAATGTCAAATTATAATAGGTGCATGTTTGTCCGCATGCGTATGTTGTTTGTTATGTGGGAAACACGTCAAAACATGATAATATTTTACAATGGTCATAATGTAGGATGAATATATTTTGTCCTCATCTGCTTTGCTTCACTAGAGTCCGACATATAGGTGATAAGTCTCTTCACTTCAGTTGATGTGATTCAAATATGCAAGGCTTCAGGCGTCAGTCTTTCTTTATGTGAACGAAAGTCTCTTCTTAGAATTTAGAGATTATCGAAGTCGATCTTATGTCCGCTGTCTATAGTATGCATTGCTATGGCTGATCTGTTTTCTAGACTCTTTAATTCTACTTCATTCCTAGAAAGCTTTACACTTCTTGTGTAATCATCCAGTTGAACGACTTGAGTAACTTTGGATGATATTGTAGCATATACTGCTGGTTGATATGAATAGTTGGGATCCACTAACGTCAAACAGTGGTGGTTTGATTACATGACTCTCTTAGATATACTGTCACCTTGAATAGAAGAAGAGCACGTCACACAGGGCTGAAACCAAGACAGAAACAGTTCATCTAGTTAGTCACTAACAGTGAACCTTTTTTTTCCAATAAATTACATGAATCCTTTTTTAAAACATAAAAAAGCTGTTGGGGTTAGTTTTTTCGCACTGTAGACAATAAGCGTCCATCATCGGTGGCACAACTTCTCATGAAGTTACATTGTACCATTTTAAATTATTTCAAATAATCCCAAAGTGCTTATGAAAAAACGAGATTTTTCTAAACGTTTCTCTTCTTCAGCAAATCTTTATTTATTTATTTTCGGATTATAGCTTGAAACCACACAGTATTTTTGGTACAAGTATGGAATTTTCAGCATATGATATCGGTAGCCCAAATTTTGCAGGCCGATCATAGATATCAGGTGTGCGTCGGCATGGGATCGAACCCCGAACCATGTGCATGGTCGGCGAGAGTCCTCACCGCTGTGCTACCGACGCACAGTCTGAAAAGAAAAGCACTGACAAGTTTTAGTTGTCATCCTAGAATATGGTACAGATATGTAGATGAAACAGTTTCAGTAGGTTTAAATCTCGTAAGTAGAGATAAAAACATTATAACATATAACGACTATACGGAGAACGAGATCTCCAATATAAAACAAATTTTGATTGGAAATGGTTATCCGAAAAAGCTGTTAAATAGTATTATCAATACAAAGGACCAAAAGGGAAAACAGAAAATTGAAAACCTTTGGCAATCGACGATAGCTATTCTATATCGAATGGATACAACTGAACAGCTTCAAAAAGTACTTGCTTCATATAATGTTAAAGTCTGTTTGAAGCCCTCTAATTCTTTAGAGGAAGCTTGGGTAAGTGTCAAAGATATGGTTCCCAAAATGATACAAAACAACTGTGTCTATAGGAGCTAGTGTTCAGAATGTGAAGCTTGCTATATAGAGAAGAGCAGTAGGCAAGTGAAAGTCAGAGTGAATGAACACAAGCAGTGCACGAAACGTCCGCGTAGACATGAAGTAGAATTAAAGAGTCTAGAAAACAGATCAGCCATAGCAATGCATACTATATACAGCGGACATAAGATCGACTTCGATAATCTCTAAATTCTAAGAAGAGACTTTCGTTCACATAAAGAAAGACTGACGCCTGAAGCCTTGCATATTTCAATCACATCAACTGAAGTGAAGAGACTTATCACCTATATGTCGGACTCTAGTGAAGCAAAGCAGATGAGGAAAAAATATATTCATCCTATATTATGACCATTGTAAAATATTATCATGTTTTGACGTGTTTCCCACATAACAAACAACATACGCATGCGGACAAACATGCACCTATTATAATTTGACATTAGTCATTACAAATACGTGATGACTGTTTACATATTTCTATTGGTAGGAATGTCTATCGACAGGTGACCATCAAAGGAACTCACTTCAATTTGTGTAATATTTATGACTATATATTTTGATGGTTGATAAAGTTCGAATGATTCTGTTGAAGAGGCTATGGGTTACACAGAGAAACGTTCAGAAAAATCTTGTTTTGATTTTTTCTTAAAGACGATGCTGGGATTATTTCAGATAATTTATAATGATTCAATGTGAGTCGTTGGTGAAATTATTCCAGGGAGTTTGAAACATCTGCAGTCTGGAAACCTATAAGCTAAATTGTATTGCTTTAATTTCACGCATGAAGTTTGAAATAGCTTAACGAAATGTGGTATTCTTTAAGTATATACAAAAGATTTTACACCAATTAGGAAAAGACGGCATTTATTAAAGCAGTATCTAATAAAAAATAACGGTTTACAACAAGGATTTCGCTGATATCCTTAAAGAAAAGACATAAACTTCTACTGTGTTGGCTGTTGTGGAGCAACACAACCACCACCTGCATATTGATTGCTAAGAAACTGTATACAAGTAAATACTATCCATAAAACCCGTAATCCATGCTGAACAATTACTCACTCACTCACTCACTATTATTGATCATAATATATTAAATGAACTAATTGTATTGTATTGTTTATAAAGAGAGAATGAAACACAGGCTAGTGAGAATACATGTGGTCAATATAATTATGTATACTTAATCAATAGTAAAAATGAAGGTCAATAGACAAACAACTAAAAATAAACTTGATTTTCTGTTTCTAATGTCAAAAAAATTATCTTTGAAGTGTCTTATGCGTAAAAATGCAGACAGTGAGCAACTTCAATGAAGTATGATGAGAAGGTAGACTAATTCTTACTTGACAATAATTAGTGTTTACTGTCGTCATTACATACGCATTCACACCAAAAGACCGAAGGATTAGTTCAAAGGTTTTTTTTAATATAGGTCCACTTAGAAAACAGGTCAGTGAAATTGTAAGGCTGCTTATTAATACAACATTTGTGAGAAGATAAATCTAAAACGAATGACTTTTTGATATCAACTAGAACGACTTTGTAAATAAAAAAGGCATTCAAAGTAGTGCATGGATGGATTCACACCTTTTCTTGAATTTCCTTCACATCATACTAATATGAAATATGGTGACTGGAACAGATATTTGGGTCTACTAGGTTTTATAACATTTATTTGCCTAATGAAGATGAAATACCAAGTAACGGTGAAGAATTATTGATGTCAGGGAAAAAGAGCTTCATTTAGGGCAGTACAAAGATAATAGCAGACTGAGTGACTGAGTCTAAAAAATAGAACCTTCGACAGAAGTGCAGCAGCTCAAGATGCTACACTGCATGTAGCACACAGAGTTAGAGAAAAGGGAGAGAACACACTCAAAAGAAGTATAAGGAGCTAAAATGTGAAGAAGAAACAGTAGTGACACGTAAAACATGAGGACTTAACGGATATGGGAGATTATCACACAGAGTGCACCTTCGCCATGCCATTGAGGACGGTTTTCAGCCACACCAACATCATTTTCAAGCCGGTGGTTCTTAGAATCCCAAGGATCTCAAACAGATAGTCTATACTATCCTACGTCCCGACCGATAGCTGCTATCTTGACGTGGTGGTCGGGTTTGCACATCTCAATGACCCAACAAGCTACACTGAATGGAACTACTGTCCCTGTTGGTGCTACCACGCCAGGAAGATTGTTAGGATACTGATTAGACTAAAAGCAGTTACCAGCATAGTGTAAGGATTTTTTTACACTATGCTGGGGGTCTGTGGGCGAAGTCATACTGCTGGGGAACAGGGATGTAACAGCAGTGAGGTGTTTCCCTCAGATGACCAGCATACCAGCTATGCTGTCTCTCCACTCTGGAGAGAGGGGGTTGGGAAAGGTCGACCCCAACAATTGTACATCCCGACTTACCCTACGGTGGTCCGTAACCGGTGGTAAGTTTACTAATACGGAACCAGACCAAGAAACCAGTTCATACAGGTCGTGTGCGACCGTCCTCAAGCAGTTGTCCCCTGCGCTCTGCAGTCAAGCAACACTAACCCTCTTTCTGTTTCAGGTACCCGAAGAATCAACCAACTTCCACGGTGTGGGCAGCCGGGAAGTAACAACCACCCACACACTTCCAAGGGCACACGAAGCCTCCAAGAGACAGATCCTACGTGGTTCATGAACCAACTATCAAATACTTCATGGATTGATGGCAGGTTTTGATTAGACCAAACCCTATAATCCTTTACCAGCTTGATCCTATGTCAGATAACATTGCTTGAGGAGAAAGATGGTGGCTTGACATACATAACAAGTATCCTAGCCATCTCAACCACTGTATCTAGCACTCTACATCTAACTAACACCTCAATATTAATCACCAAATACATACCACTTAACAAGAGAGACAGAATGCAAAACATTATAAGGATAAATTTCACACTAAAGAAAATAATGATTGTAATCTTTAAAAACGTATACCTAAAGTGATTTGATTGGTATATAAGTGATAACAAAGAAACACTAAGGTAGTTTAAATTTAACCGTAAGACATGAACTAACAAGCACAAATAATCAGATACCAAGGTAAATTTATGCATTCTTTTATTTCAAAC